CGTCAGCCTTCCTGCTCCTCTGATGCTGCTTGGCCCGCTGTGTTCATCCAGCTCTACACCTTGTTATCTCTATTTTTAAGAAAGCTGCTTTCTGCTACTGTAAAACTCTGTTTGATCCGACAAAGCCAGAGAGGCCTCTGAACCTGATAACTGTGCTTGCCAGGTCTCTGTCAATGTTGCTGTCCATCAGCTACTCAGGAGGGTGTGGGATAGGTCGAGGCTTTTTTGAAATTTGAAATATGGTGACACAGTAAATTGCCACCATGAATAAACATCCTGATGTAACTTCAGTGCTTTAATGCTCCAAAGTACTCGATTACCACTGCACGTTACAAACATCATACCTTGGAGCTCAAGATGGAAGCAGCCACAATAACATTAAGAAGAAGAAAGACCAAGACTTGGGAGAACCCAAGACATCTCATGGGACCTGGTAGTGAGTGTTGCACAGTGTGTGCTGCCTATTATTTGAACTTTTAAACCAAAACCCCATTTGCCAGTTCATGTGAGCATGGCTGTCTTTCGCAGATGAGCAGGGAGTTCTCCAGTGTCACTGTCAACATACATCCTTCACATAGAACTATCAAGGCAGATTAACTGGACTTCTACCTCATTGCTGGATGTGAGGCTTGGTGTACAAATTGGATGCCACTGTTCCCTACATGGCAACAATGACTGTAATTCAAAAGTAATCAATTCAACATGAAGAGCCTCGGAATATTATCATTCCAAACATTTGTTTTCACTGCTTTCAATTACTTTGCTCTGCCATTGGATATTAATCTTTTGGTCCTTATGTCCCTGATCAACTCTTACAGAACAAATGGATCTTCTTGATGCCTTTCTCACTGCGTTCAACAAATTTCTTGAACCACACACTTGGTCTCTTTCCCGAACAGATCCATCTGCTTGATTCCCATGTCTGCCTCTCCTCAACCATTCTGACACATGGTGCTGAATTTTGCCGCAGAGGTGGTTAGGTCTTAGGTCACCAACTTTTGTTGGACATGTTCCTGGAGGTTTAATCACATGATGTCCCATCTTCAATTGCTCCACTTAATGAAACCTGTCCCAATGTTTTAAATTGGTGAATTAATGTGTTCAAACTTAGTGGAAATGGAACTCTGTTCTTTTTTTTCTCCCTTTTTGAGGGTTTTCTCTTTGCAATGTCTGGAGGGTTGGCAACGCCAGGAGGTGTCAGTGGGAGTGTAAGGTGTGGAATTTCAGAGTTCCACATCAGGATGGCTCCCCAGTACTATTCTGTCTCTAGGCATGATGCCCAGGAAGCATTACCACGAGAATCGCCAAACACTTGCAGGGAGGTGGGCAGCCAGTTAAACCAGTGATCATGATGGCATTTGGTCATGTTGAACCGGTCCTTCTGCCGAGTTTAAAGATGGCCTTAGACCGGAGAGCAGTCAGTCCCTTCTTCAACTGGCCCAATGAATGAACTGCAGATGTGAAAAGTTTGCAGCTGTCACCAAACCCATTCCCAAGAGCTGGAGTGGGCCATTTAGCCCGCGAAGACTGCTCCACAATTTACTAAGATTATGGCTGATCTGATTGTGGCCTCGGTTCCACTTTCCTCTGTTTTGAGGTGCCTCACATTTGCCTTTCCGCCTGAGCAGTGCTGACATCTCCCACTGGGGCAATCAGTAGCCAATGCTATGAGCCGCTCCCCAATTGGGCCTCCACAGGAACATGCCCCTGTCCTTAATTGGACACTAATTCTGGAGGCGGCCAATGGGAAACACGTTTTATGTAAAGTTGGATTGCGGGGCACCTTGATGACACATATTGGCTCAGGATCTGTATGTCAGCTTGACATCTAGTTACTAATGCCCTTGGGGAAACAGATCCTTTAGTTTTACACGAGGAATATTGTATAAGTGTAAACTGCAGTCACTCTGATAAAGGAGAGAAAACAAAAAGGAAATCCAGAGGCAACAGTAAACTCATCACTTTGTATTTCAAGTGACATTTAAAAGTCCCATGCAATGTTGGGACACAGACTAGAAGACAATTTTTAGCAAAGTTGCTTTGTGAGCGTGGAACCTAATTAGATGGGAGTAGAGTTGGAGAATCTGATTAATGGTGTTACATTCCTATCTCTGACTTGCGCTCCGTTTCAGTCCTGGTTTGCTGTGGGAGCAGAGCGTTGCTGAATTTGCTGTTACAAATCTACAGAGGGTCTACTGAAGCTTGAAACTGTCTTGTCCTAGCCTCCCTTTCTTGCCTTGCTTGTTCCCCACAATTCAAGTGGAGAAAAACATGCTTTGGAAATGATACAGAGAAGAGAATCATCCACAGTGTAAAGGGGATGAAATGTGAAGAAAGATTGAAGCTTAAATTTTGCGGTCCAGAGGGAAGGGCCTTGATCATAAAAAGCAAGTTACATGTCAACTCAGGACGATATTTTTAAAGACATTCAACAAAGAGAACATTGAAGATGGTGAAAAATATAAAACAGATCTTATAAAATGATAATAAATGAGAGTGAACATTTGGAATAATCCATCAGTAAATTAAGGTGGACAATCAAATTTTAATTTAGCTGTTGGATTAATTGAATTATTCAAGATGTAGGTCAAATGACGATTATTCATCTTATACTTTTTGTTTGTTTTCTGACGTTTTCTTTCTTTTTTCCAAGTACCTTTCATGCTTGGCCTATTCTTTGACCTAGATACCAAATAAACAGAATTTTTGTTAACGTAATTCTTCAGAGACATAGAGTGCCCTATTCCCTCGCCAAAAAATCTAATTGCGTTCAGAGCTTTTTCTAGGGAGAGTTCCAGCTTAATCGGTTTGCTTGGGAAAACTTCTAACTTCCAATAAAAGAAGCACGATTACTGACAGCTCTTTAGCCAACCATCAAGCAGCATTGTCATTAAATGCACTGAACTGTGAGAGCTAAAAATGTGAAAAATATTCAAATTCCCACAATGCTTAGACTGTGTCCCTCAGTTGACATGAACTAGAAGAACTGCAAGCATTCTGTTCACAGTGAAATGTGAATCCATGCTTCAACATTGCTGGACAGATCTATAAAGTTAAATAAAATAATAAGATAAATAAAGCATCCCACACCATACTGATTAAATGGCTATACTGATAGCTGATGAAAAGACGTAGGATTCATTTCCCTCCAGTCTCACCATTCACTCATTTCTGAAATACCAGAACAACCACCAACTTGGCTGTAGATCCTGAGGTCTCCTCGGTTTCTTCCAATCTGCAATAGCTAAAGACTTTTCCAGTGCCTGTTAACACTCACTCTTTCTCCTGGAGCACAAGGGAATGTCTGTAACAAGCTGCGGGTAGCAAAACAACCTATTTGATTTGATTTGATTTGGCTGCTTTTATTCATTAAACTATTTGCTAAAAAAGCCATTGGCATGCTACCTCCCCACCTTCCCCAGAAATTGAACCTCTGCCCCATGTCTGCCTAACATTTTGATTGCAGGCGAATTCCTCTAACTCAGTTTCAAAATCAGCTACGCTAGAAAATGTGCTGCTTGGCTAAAGAATCAAGTGTAGAAATGTGGAAGGATTTTGGAGATGCTGCTTTATTTTAAAACATTATTTTTCTTGAATGTTTTGGACAGCACAGTCTTCAGTGAGCTTTATAAAGCTTTGCCAGTTCCCCTGTAAGTGGAAGGCCTGTATACGTGGTTGTGATTTGAGCGTCTCTTGTAAAGTAACAGGATTCAGGAGTTTTGATGACACAGGAGCAGTTATAAATAGTAGTCAAGGGTGGCACAGTTGTTCAGGCACATTTAAATTATACCATCCTGTGCCAGGAAGATCACAACTGGGTTCAGAGCTACCTTTCCTTTCACAGTGAGGTATCTGAGGCATTTTTAGATGGGTTGCCTACAGTGACACAACAGACTGTTCTAAAACAACATTAATGACAGTAGCATGTCCAACCTGCCTTGCAGGAGCCTCTTCAAACAAAAATTGATACTTATTCAAATAAGAAATCGTTAGGGTGGGTTGACTAAGCTTAATCAAGGAGGAGGGTTTTAAAGTTCTGAAATTGAGAGACTGAGAGCTCAAGGACGGAAACGGAGAGGCTAATATGTAGACAGTTGAAGGCAACAGTCGATGGATAAGCTGATGGAAGTTGGACATTACAATGAGAATTAAGTTTATTGTCACATGTGCTCAATTACAGGGATACATTAGTGCGGAGAAAAGTGTACAAAGTCGCCATTTCCAGTGCCATCTTAAGTAGAAAGATACCTGGGTCCAAAATCTTAGATATAAATTAGAAAAATAAAGGTCAAAGTTCAACATTATAGTCCTTCTAAAGCAGGGAGTCCATGCTGGGCTTCAGCTCAAGGAGGCCAGGAGTCAAGGATTAAAGAACAGAGCCTGTTGCAGGGCAGAAGTCAATGGCTTTGGGCCTTCCCAATATTGGATTGGAGGAAGTTTGAGGTAACCAGAACTGAATGTCAGAGAGTCTGGCAGCCTTGAGTTAGTGGTGAGATCAAGGGAGGTGGTAGTGACTCAGACGCTGGGTATCGCGTGGAAGTTGACCTGTTTCAGTTGCCGCCTCTGAGATGCAGCGTACAAATAAGAAAAAGAAGGTGTCAAGGAATAAATGCTTGGAAAAGAAATGGCTGCAGGAGAATCTCCAGCAACGCTTGGACAGGTAAAAATGAAACAAGGTGAGGACTGATGGCTTCAGTTGAACAGTTAAGGAAACGATTGTTGACTTTTAGAATGATTGAATATAAGCTGAAAGAAGAGTTGTTGTAAATACATCCCAGGACCATCAGCAGTGATCATGGGGAAAGTTTATCATTCATCTGTATCCCATTTGTATGGTCATGTCTTGGTTTCTGATCCCTTTATGCCATGGTTCTACTATAGGTGATCTGGTGTCTCGAGCTATGCACCACCTGCAATGTTCAAACACACTGTCTCCAGGAGTGAGTCCATGTCGCCATGGCAGACAGCAGCCTGTCACCTGGTCTCCTGATGCCCTGCACACACTTTACTATTTTCTGCGATGCCCCCAGATGGAATCGATGGAGAATCCCAACCTGGATCCCCCCCGAGTTTCCTTAAATAATGAGAGGTAACATTTCATTCATCTGCATGTCTGTCATTGTATTTTGTGATTCAGTTTACACCTTTTTGCCACTTCATGCACTTTTTAAAAAAAAACTTCTTTTCAAACATTTGTTCTCCTGATGGTTATGAAGTTAGGTTTTTTTAAAAAGCTAGTTTTGACTTTTTGAATGATATGAGAGTTGGCCTCACTATGGATCATACTACAGGGTATAGATAGTAGCTGGTCCTCGTGGAGCCTTTATGTGGTGAGTTACCAATCTGAGCCATATGTTTGAACAGACAGATGTACAAATTTGGAGCAGGGGTAAGCACTTCAGCCCCTCAGTAATTCAGAATTCAGCAAGATTCATGATCTTTATGGTCTTGAATCCGCTTTTCCACCTCCCCGCCCAATAACCATTGATGTCCTTGTCTTTAATATATATCTGTCTTAAAAATGTTCAACTTGTTTGAAGATTGTCATTTATACTGGTGGGCCCTCAGGAGGAGGACAAGATGGACCATCTATTTGGCACTAAATAAAAACTGAAAGAACTGAGGATGCTGTAAATCAGGAAACAAAACAGAAATTGCTGCAAAAGCTCAGCAAGTCTGGCAGTATCTGTGAAGGAAAAAACAGAGTTAACGTTTCGGATCAGGTGATCCTTCCTCAGGACTGATGGTGGCTAGGAAAACGTCAGCTTATTTACAGAAAAAAGGGGGAGGGGGAGAGGGGTGGGGTAAGGAGTAAATGATAGGATAGAGCCTAAAGAGAGAGAAGAGCAGTTGGACAGACAAAAGAGTTGATAATGAGAGATAGTAGGAACTGCAGATGCTGGAGAATCCGAGACAACAAGATGCAGGGCTGGATGAACACAGCAGGCCAAGCAGCATCATAGGAGCATGATCAGGTTTGCTTGGTGAATAGTTGTTAATGGGGACTATTAGTGACTAGTAACAAGTAGTGTGTAATGGCAGGCTATGTGGTAACAGGGCCTGGTGTGTGGGGTTGGGGGCTGGGACATGGAAGAGTTTAGGCCCTAAAATTATTGAACTCAATATTGAGTCTGGATGGCTGCAGGGTCCCCAAGCGGAAAATGAGGTGTTGTTCTTCCAGCTTGCATTGAGCTTCGCTAGAGCACTGCAGCAAGCCAGAGACAGAGATGTTGGTCAGGGAACAGGGTGGTGCGTTAAAGTGGCAGGCAACAGGTAGTTCAGGGTCTTTTTTGTGAGCAGAACGTAGATGTTCTGCGAAGCAGTCGCCAAGTCTACGCTTCGTTTCCCCAATGACGAGGAGACCACATTGTGAGCAGCGAATGCAGTAGACTAGATTCTGGGAAGTGCAGGTGAAGTGTTGCTTCACCTGGAAGGTATGTTTGGGCCCTTGGATTGTGGGGAGGGAGGAGGTAAATGGGCAGGAGTTGCACCTTCGCCGGTTACAGGGGAAGGTGTGTAGGGCTGTGGGGGGGTGGTGTTCAGGGTGAAGGAAGTGTGGACCAGGGTGTCTCAGAGGGAATGGTCCCTGCGGAAGGCAGACAATGGAGAGGAGGGGAATATGTGCCTGGTTTGTCTGGTCTGTCTGGTGCGTCTATTTGGCACCTTTGATGATGGAATTCTTTAGGGAACAGAATTCCAAAAACTTATGACCCTTTTAAAGAAAAAAATAATTTCTCCTCATTTCCATTTTAAATGGGAAACACCCTATTTTTAAAAAATAGAAATTGCTGGAAAAGCTCAGCAGGTCTGGTAGCAGCTGTGAAGAGAAATCAGAGTTAGCATTTTGGGTTGAATGACCCTTCCTCAGAACTGATGCCAGGTAGGAAAATGTTGGTTTATATATAGAAGGTAGGGTAGGGGGAGGGGGTAAGGAATTGATGGGTGGGGATAGAGCCAAAGAGAGAGAAGAGCAGTTAGAAAGATAACGGAGTGGATAACGATCTGGCTAGGAAGGTGACAGGACCCAAAAACACCTTCCAGGTGAAGCAGCACTTTACCTGCACATCCCACAATCTAGTCTACTGTATTTGCTGCTCACAATGTGGTCTCCTCTACATTGGGGAAACAAAGTGTAGACTGGGTGACCGCTTCGCAGAACATCTTCGTTCTGTTTGCAAAAAGACCCTGAGCTTCCAGTTGCCTGTCACTTTAACACACACACCCTGTTCCGTGGCCAACGTCTCTGTCTCAGGCTTGCTGCAGGGCTCCAGTGAAGCTCAGCACAAACTGGAAGAACAACACCTAATTTTCCGCTTGGGAACCCTGCAGCCGTTTGGACTTAATATCAAGTTCAATAGCTTTAGGGCCTGAACTCTCCCATGTCATTACCCCATCCCCCACAACCAGGCCTTGGTATCACAAGACTGACATTTCGGGCCTAGGCCCTTCTTCAGAAATGTGGGAGGGAAGGGGGTTCTGAAATAAATAGGGAGAGAGGGGGAGGCGGATAGAAGATGGATAGAGGAGAAGATAGGTGGAGAGGAGACAGACAGGTCAAAGAGGCGGGGATGGAGCCAGTAAAGGTGAGAGTAGGTGGGGAGTTAGGGAGGAGATAGGTCAGTCCAGGGAGGACGGACAGGTCAAGGGGCCGGGATAAGGTTGGTAGGTAGGAGATGGGGGTGGGGCTTGAGGTGGGAGGAGGGGATAGGTGGGAGGAAGGACAGGCTAGAGAGGCGGGTTACGAGCTGGGCTGGTTTTGGGATGTGGTAGGGGGACTCATATTCCGCTTGGGAGCCCTGCAGCCCAATGGTATCAATCTGGACTTCACAAGCTTCAAAATCTCCCCTCCCCCTACCGCATCCCAAAACCACCCAGCTCGTCCCCGCCTCCCTAACCTGTGCTTCCTCCACGTATCCCCTCCTCCAACCTCAAGTCCCACCCCCATCTCCTACCTATCAACCTCATCCCGCCCCCTTGACCTGTCTGTCCTCCCTGGACTGACCTATCTCCTCCCTAACTCCCCATCTACACTCACCTTTACTGGCTCCATCCCAGCATCTTTGACCTGTCTGTCTCCTCCCCACCTATCTTCTCCTCTATCCATCTTCTATCCGCCTCCCCCTCTCTCCCTATTTATTTCAGAACCCCCTTGCCCTCCCCCATTTCTGAAGAAGGGTCTAGGCCCGAAACGTCAGCCTTCCTGCTCCTCTGATGCTGCTTGGCATGCTGTGTTCATCCAGCTCTACACCTTGTTATCTCAGATTCTCCAGCATCTGCAGTTCCTGCTATCTTGGTATCACAAGTCTGCTAACAGTCCCCATTAACAGCTATTCACACTCCTGGCCAGATTGTTATCTGGCTGTGTTCATCCAGCTCTGCACCTTGTTGTCTCGTTATCAATTCCTTTGTCTCTCCAACTGTTCTTCTCTCTCTTTGGGCTCTATCCCCACCTATCATTTACTCCTTAACCTCTTCACCCACCCTACCTTCTGCATATAAACAGGCATTTTTCTAGCTACCATCAGTTCTGAGGAAGGGTCACTTGACCTGAAACACTAACTTCGATTTCTCTCCACCTGCTGAACTTTTCAAGCAATTTCTATTTTTATCTCTGATTTACAGCATCCACAGTTCTTTCAGTTTTTAATTAGTATTTGACACCTTATTTTATATTGGTGTCCCATTGTTCTAGTTGGTCCCACAAAGGAAAACACTCAGCATCCACCCTATCAATTTCCTTCCAATCTTGTAAGATCAACACTCATTCTTCTAAGTCACAATAGACACAGGACCAATTTATATAATCTTTCTTCAGAAGATAACCTGACCACCACCACCCACCCAATCCTAGGTTTCAGTCGTAGTAATACAGCATGGAAACAGACCCTTCGGTCCAACCAGTCCACACTGACCATGTTCCCAAACTAAATTAGTCCCACCTGCCAGCTCTTGGCCCATATTTCTCCAAACCATTGTTCTTCTTGTACTTATCCAAATGTCTTTTAAACATTGTAACTATACCTGCATCCACCACTTTCTCTGGCAGTGCAATCCACCCACGAACTACTCCATGTAGTAAAAAAAAATCCTCATACTGTTTTTAAATCTTTCTCCTCTTGTCTTAAAAATATGACACTTTGTCTTGAACTCCTCCATCCTAGGGAAAAGACCGCTGTCATTTACCTTATCTGTGCCCCTCATGATTTTATAATCGTCAATAAAGTCACCCCTCAACTTCCTACGCTACAGTGAGAAAAGTTCCAGTCTATTTTTATTTCTCAAACCCTCCATTCCTGGCAACATTCTGGTAAATCTTTTCTGAACTCTAGCCAGTTGAACTCTAGCCAATTCCTATAACAGGGCGACCAGAACTGCGCACAGTATTCCAGAAGATGCCTCACCAATGTCCTGTACAACCTCAACATGATGTCCCAACTCCTTTACTCAATGGTCTCAGCAACAAAGCCAACCATACTAAACACCTTCCTAAACACCCTGTCTACCTGTGTAATGCACATTTCAAAGAATTATGTACCTGAACCCCTAGGTTTCTCTTTTACAACACTGCTGAGGGTTCTACCATTAATTGTATAAGTCCTGTTCTTGTTTATATTACCAAACTGCAATACCTCACATTTATCCAAATTAAACTTCACTGACACTCCTCAGCCCATTGACCCAATTGATTAAGATCTGCTTGTAATCTTAGATCATCTTCATGTCCATACACCACCAATTTTGGTGTCATGTGCAAACTTTTAAACCATGCCTCCTAAATTCTCATCCAAATCATTTAAACAAATAATATCATTTTTAAAAATAATATATAAATAAAAAAGTCCGGTGAACCTTCTCTGAACTGACTGTAATGTGTATTTATAAATTTATATCTTTCTCAAATGAGTCCATCATTGTACACTGTATTCCAGATGAGGTCAAGCTCGCACAGCTGCAGCAACACATCACTACTTCTACATCCCATTCTACTTGCAATAATGACAATGTTCCATTTGCTGTCTGATCTTGCTGTACCTGCATGCTAATGTAATGTACCAGTACACCCAACCTATTACTCTGTACCTCAGAGTT